AAATACACAGGCACATACACACACACGCACACAGCAGTGCTCAACTGGAAGCAGCCATGCAGCAATAGCCTTGAGTGATAACATCATCATATGTGTGTGTGTGTGTGTGTGAGAGTGAGTCTGTATGTGTGTATGTGAGCAGCGAAGCATGCAGGCAACAAGCCACGCCAAGGAGCAAGCGATGAAACCCAGAAACTGCAGCAGCAACAGCCGCAGCAACAGTAACAAGAACAACAACAAGAACAACACCAACAGCAGCAGCTACAACAACAATAAGGAAACCTTGGCAACCAAAAAAACTAAACAAAAACAAAAGCAAAAGCAAAAACCCCGTAGACAAGCGACACGACAATGGGACAAAAGGTGGAGCAAAACGTTGAGCCAAGATTAAATCAGGTAAGAAATTTTGTACGTTGCGAGTGGTAAAAAGTTTTGCACCTGCCGTTAGTCAAGCAGCAGCCGGTTGCTCAGCTGTTGTTGTGCTTGCTGCTCCTGTTGCTGTTGTTGTTGCTGTTGTTGTTGTCATTCAGATGATTAGTGCGCAGCCTTCAAGCTGCGACTGCGCAGTTATCTTTTCCTCTTTTTGTTTTAGTTTTATTTTTTTTTTTTTTGTTATTTTTGGCTAACTGTTGCCGGCACATCGCGTATTGTTGTTTTTGTTTATGGCGAAAAACCTGTCCACGCACTTATTGCAGCTTGCTGCTGGGCATGACAACGCCTCAAATTGGTCAACAAACTGTGCGCGTGTTCCACTGTGCGTCTGCCTGCCTGCATTATGCTATGCCACATGCATATGCAAAGAATCAACAGTCTTTGGGCGTTTTACCCTCATCAGGCAACGAGCTCACTAAACAGCCGAGAACAGCTCGGTATGGAAACACCTGCGCTCAACTAATTTGCGCTCACCTTTTGCCTGGCATTGATTGTTATTTTAATTACCTGCTGCTATTTGAATTTGAAATTTTCGGCTGCATTTTTGGGAATTAAGTAGGTTTTTGAGTGCATTTAATGTAATGAAACGGGCTTATAGAAAATTTAGGGTACAAATTTTTGTGGATAATATATTATTTTCTCTTATTTTAGAAAATCCCTTCATTTACAACATTCAGCTTTCCTGAACTTCTAAATATATATAAATAAAT